GAATCACGCAACGTGATTTACTAAGATTTGCTCTCGTCAGTTCACAGGTATTTGTGGCATTATTTAACGCCCCAAAAAAGCATGTCTTAAAGCAGGTGGTAATTTGCGCTGGTCATTATAGAAATTGGATGTTGCGTCTGTGTTCTTTAATGTGCGCATTGTCAGTAAATCACACGCAAAATTTTCCTCTCCCATCGCCGCTTTTATGGAATTGTGCTCTAACGCTAATTGCACTGTTTAGTAAATCTGGCCCTAAGAAATTAGAATGTACCAAAATGAAAAAAGAAGTGTCACTACTGGTCAAATGTTTGTAATATTTAAGATTTTTTTTGATGCTTTTGAAATAGTCATTGCATTACATACAGTAAAAAAAAGTAATATTGTGAGGTATTTTTAATTTATATCATTAATAATATAATTAATTCCTGTGATGCGAAGCTGAATTTTCAGCATCATTACTCCAGTCTTCAGTGTCACATGATTATTTGCGTCAGTACGATTTTTTAAAATATTTTTATTCAGCAGTGACACATTAAATAGATCAAAACTGACAGTAAAGACATTTATAATGTTACAAAAGATTTCAATTTGAAATAAATGCTGTCCTGAAAAAAATGTATCCCAGTTTCCACAAAAATATTAGGCAGCACAACTGTTTTCAACATTGACAATAATCAGAAATGTTTTTTTTTAGCAGCAAATCAGCATATTAGAATGATTTCTGAAGGATCATGTGACACTGAAGACTGGAGTAATGATACTGAAAATTCAGCTTTGCATCAAAAGAATAAATTACATTTTAAAATATATTCAAATAAAAAAACAGCTATTTTAAATTGGAATAATATTTCAAAATATTTTTTTTTTTTTTTTTTTTTTTTTATTAAATAAATTGAGCCTTGGTGAGCAAAAGAGACTTCTTTCAAAAACATTCAAACAATCTTATTATAAACATTTGGTTGTGTATATTTATATTTTGCATAAAGAAAATGAAACTTTTTTAGTACCTTTAATATACTTTTTGCATTAATATATGATATTATTTTCATTCAAATCAAACATAAATTCTACTCTAAAATGTATTATTACTTTAAAGTGAAAAATCTCATTCTTAACACGGTAATGATAACCATTTCTCAACAGCTGCTCAGGTGTGGTGAGGCTGATCGCACCTGGTAATGTTGAGTTGATGTATCCATTGATGGTGTGGTACTGGGTTGGACTTGATGTTTTCTTCAGTTTGTCTGCTCGGCCAACTTCCCGGTACCAACTTTTACTCTCATCGAAGACAGCAAGAAGCAAAATGAACTCCGGAACCTTCCGCTGTCTCTCCTCAGTCAGAGCCTCTGAGAGAGGTCAAATGTTAAAGGACATGTCAAATATACACCAGCATTCCAATTTCAGTACAAAATGTCAGTGAGATTTTACATGATATATTTGACAAATCCTAACAGAGAAGCAACAGTCACACCTGTTTTACAGATCAGGAGAGTCCCGACGAGTCCGCTGTTCAAGTCTCGGATGATGTCCACCTGTGATGAGTAAATGTAGGTAAGGCAGTCTGGATCTGATGTGGTTGGCCCGGAGTTGGGGGAAATGTCCCACACGTACTTGTAGTAACCACCAGGAGGCACTGCATCATCCGCTCGCTCCTGAACAGAGCTGAAGTCCTCGTACCCTGCGCCTGCCATTGAAAAGCAGAAGGATGTTGAGGTTTATCTTTACACATTATAGGTTTTCAAACCCATCAGGATATTGCAGTATATCTCACAATATTGCTTTCGTTTCGCAGGGTAAGGCCGAACTTTCTATATGCTGGTGTATATGGGAAATCAAATGTATTTTATGCACTCTGGAATTTATCAGTATCTCCAGTGTTACAAAACACATAACAGTATTCCAAAACAAGTCTATAATGATGTTGTGAGTTCAGTCTAGGAACAATTTGTCTTATGCAGTAAAAGTTGGACGGTTTGGAATGAAATGATTTACATTCCAAAAGGGTTTTTTCCGCAGCAATGTGATAGAAAAACTATTCTTTTCAATTCTTAAAAGAACCGCTTTTCGAACATTTTAATAATCTAAAGAACCTTGTTACATTATAAAGAACCTTTTGTGCAATGGAAAGATTCCATGGATGTTAAATCAATGGCTTTCATCAATTTACCTTCCGATTGTTTCCAGTACTGAATGCCGATGGGAGAAATGCTGAAAGATTGTGATGCAAAGTTTTTGAAGTGCACCACAACCCTGTCGTTCACCACTGTTCTGATAGTCGGGCCTTGAATACCTGAAACAGATCATTTAATATTCTATTTATTCAATTCTAAACTTCTTAATGTTTTTTTCCTAAGAAGCAGAGATTTCAACGCTTATACTGACCAGCCCAGGGAGGTTTTGACTTTGGTGCTGTAAAAGTAGAATCAGTGTATTCTTTATATACAGCCTTGATGTATTTCTGGACATCAGATGCAAATTTCCTGTTAGCAATAATTATGCTGTTACTAGACATATTTGCAATACAGTGCAATGCAACATAATACAACACAACTTTATTAATCCACTAGAGTTAGCAATTCATTGCTAAATATTGAAAGAAATAGTTCACACAAATATGAAAAGAAAATGTATTCATCCTCAGGCCATTCACCATATAGATGAGTTTGTTTCTTCATCAGAACAGATTTGGAGAAATGTAGCATTACATCACTTGCTCAGCAATGGATCCTCTGCAGTGAATGGGTGCCGTCAGAATGAGAGTCCAAACAGCTGATAAAAACTTTCCAACACTTGTGGATTATTGTGATGTATTTATGGATTATTGTGACACTTTGCATTAATTTATACAATTTTGGAAGTGGTGATTTGAAGTTAAAACATCTTGATGGATTCTAACAAACAGCTTTTGACTTCACAAGACATTAATTGATGGACTGAAGTGGTGTGGATTATTGTGATGTTTTTATCATCTGTTTGGACTCTCATTCTGACGGCACCCATTCACTGCAGAGGATCCATTATTGTGGTAATGCAAAATTTCTCCAAATCTGATGAAGAAACAAACTCATCTACATCTTGAATGGCCTGAGGGTGAGTAAATGTTCAGCAAATTTTTCTTTTTGTGTGAACTATTCCTTTAATAATTATACCAGACAATGTATTTCAAAATGTCAGTACCAACTTATAACAGAACATTTTGTCTTATAAAGGATTATAATGGTTGCAAGAAATATGCATATTCAGCAAATGATCTGCTGCGGTTTCACACTAATGGTCGTGAGCTGTTATCACGCTCTGTTCTAAAAACACCAAATCAAAACATGTTTGTTCTGACCACATATTCACTATTCATGGACTGAAAATCACTACAAGAACATATTATATATAAATAACAGGCAGGCTTCTGATCACTAAAAATAACAATCAAACTATGAATGACATTGACCGTATCTAAGTGCAAATATATGCTCACATTTGTTATGCTCTGTTTAACTATACAACTTGGAAGCATAATTGAAATTTGGACAGGCCTTAAAGCTTTTGCCTTTGAGGGTTGCTGGACTGAGTCCATGCCAACTAATGAAAAGATCAAACACTTTCTCAAAGCTGTTTCCTTTCTATAATTACTAACTGATGACATTCTGCTTGATGGTCAGATTCCAGTTTACTCTGATAAAACACTTACTGTTTGTACACAGTGGTGTTTTGAGAACACTGTAGCAAAATTTGTATAATAAAAGACATAAAAGGTGTATAATCTTTATGGGTAGCAATAATTAAAAAGCATGTTTTTATGTGTGCATAATAATAAATGTGCCCACCTCTGGTTTGCAGTAGGATCTGTTGTGTCTGTAAACACATATTCCCACTTAGTTTCCACTGCTGCGATGAAGAACTCCAAAGTCTTCGCCAGGACACAGGGAGACTTCAGACACACCGTGAGGGAGAGGAGGAACAGAACAACCTTCATCACTGGAGCACAAGTTAAACCCGCTGACTGAATGAGATGCTGAGATGCTGTCAGGACATATTTAACTGCACAGGAAAAGTGTTTAGGGAGGAGCCAGAGAGAGGGCGAGACAGAGAGAGTGTTCATGATAATCATGAGTAATGATGAATGTTCGAGTCATGGAAAGAATGGATAAAGGTGCACTCTTTTGCAAATTTCTACAGTTTTTTGGGGGTTATATTTTCCTGAAAAGCAGATGTTTTGGGCAATAGTAATAGTGATGCTTGTCATAAGCAGTCTTAATCATTTACACGTAACGTTTAATTACATTAGCACTGGAAATAATGTACCATTTAAAGCAGAGGTTTTTCAGCTTTCCTTAACCAGAAACAAAATGGGATAAATGGCAAATAAAAAAAAGAAGTTTTAACTCACACTTACAAAACTATATGCAGTGTTTTATATCAATGATGTGCTCTTTTTGACCAAAACAACTCCAACAAAGACACAGACTTTTTTTTTTTTTTTTGCTTTCCTGACCAGAAACAAAATAGGATAAATGGCAAACAAGGAGGTTTACCTGGAACTCACACTTACAAAACTATATGCAATGTTTTTTTTTAAATTATTATTATTAATGCTGTGTTCTTTTTAACTGAACTCCAAAAAGTGAGGTTTAACTAAAAAACAAAAACAAAAAAAACATTTAGGAATTATCACCTAAATGTAATAGTCTTATTTTACTTTTTGGATGTTTTCTTTTATTGTTTTAAATGGCTTAAATGTTGTCTTGAATCATGATTGCCATATAGGCTAGTCAATTTCTAAGTGAAGCTTTGTAGGAAAAAAAAATCTATATATATATAGCCGCTTGTTTAGTTAATAAATGATTACTAATTACTTTGCACATATCCAAACAACACATTCTTGTTCATATTTTGTTCATATTTTGTTCCTGTGATATTTGGTTTCAGTCCATTATACGGCGATAAAAAGCACGACAGTATTGACAGCGCGGAGAGATATTGTTTATTTGCAATAAACTTTATACTGCGGAGTGATATCATCATTAGAAAACAGCATGTGTGTAGTCCCGGTTAGTTCTAGAAGTCAGTCACGCGGTGACAAATTGCGCAGGAGAGTGGACTAAACACCACATTTGGTTTTACCTGTTTAATTTAATATTTATAAGTCGTTATACTACATTTTAGGCTATTGAACACGTCGTGAGCCATAAAGAAAGACTGCATTTAAATTAGGATATCGTCTAAAGTCAGGCATCCGCTCTTGTGTAATTAGGAAACATGCTTTCAGTGTAAAGAACTCGTCCTAGTCTGCCAAAAAAGAAGACTTGAACATCATGCAGCAGGCATAGTTTGTAAGGAATCGCCGCCACCTAGTGGAGATTACACGCACGCACACACACATAAATACTGTTAGTTTAAATTATTCAATGCCAATGTACAGGTGCATCTCAATAAATTAGAATGTTGTGGAAAAG